CCCAGAGGCGCAGCTGCCGCTGCAGGTTCAGTCGGCCACGTCGGACCGAAGAGGCTCGGTCGTGCGGACGGGTTCTGTCCTTGAAGTCCATGGCACCGAGGGTGTGCCAGAGCCCGGCGCGGCCCGGGGAGCTGCTTTCGTGCATAGACGCACCGCATCCCTGCGCAGCACTCCCAGGAATTTAACATCCCTGTTTTGCTGGGGGTAATGGAAAAATAAGGAGGAGATCAGGGCAGGACCCTAAATTGGCCTGAGACGTGGCACGCTCATGGTGAGCCACGAAGCTGCTCCATCCTTTGCTTATGTGGGAGATGAGGCGATGGCTGGTGGGACCAGAGAGCCTTAAATCACTGCTGCATCCCGATGGAAAAACGCGTTCAGCCATGCCTGGTGCCACGGCGTGTGCCGGACCGTTCGCCAACGCTTTGTGTTCTTTCATGTCTTGCAGGGCTGAGAAGACGGAGGTTCTGAGCGAAGATCTCCTGCAGGTGAGGTCCTGTGCAGCTGGCATGGCCCGTGCCCAGAGTGCCCACGGGTGTTCAGGCACCCACCCGTGGGTGCTGGAAGCGGCAGCAGCTCCGTGCCGGCCGGTGCCGCAGTGTCCCGCAGCGATGAGACGGGCTGGGAGGAGGAGGAGGGTTGGGAGCGTGGGAAGCGGCACCATCTCCCTCCCGTGTGCCCTCCCAGCCCTTTCCCAGCCTGGTTTTCAGGTCAGCTGGAATCAGATCCAGGCTGACCTCCACCGGGACAGCAACCTGATACGACTGGCCGGATTGCGGGCGCCTGCATCTCCTCTCTCTGCTGTGAAACCTGCCCTGGGGACAGGACGTGTGACAGCAGGGGACAGTCCCCGGCGCTGATGGGTTGGGCTTCCCCCAAAGCTGATGGGTTGGGTGACTTCAGCAAAACAGCCCGAGCCAAAAGCCTGACGTGGTGCCTGGGAGAGTCGGCAGTGACGCTCGCGTCGCGGTCTCTCGGGGACACCTCGTCCCGGTGCTTTTTGCTCCGGGAGCGGGGCTGTCTGCCTGCCCAGGGGACGGAGGCGGCTGGGACAGTGCCAGCAAAGGGACATGAATTCACAGACCCATCGCTGAATTCGTGAGGTTGCTAACTTGCACGTTTTCTACATCGTCGCTCGTGTCTTGGGCACCGAGGCGCAGAGCAGCTGCCCGGTTGCCGGTGAGGGTGCTCACCCCCTGCGCCCACACCTCAGCGCGGGCATCCTCTGCCCACCCACTGTGGCTGCAGCTGGGGCCGCTTCAAAACCTCTTTTGGGGGCGAGCTGATGGTTTTACACCTTCCTGCTTGGGAATCTGGTGTGGGCCGTTGCTATCAGGTAGTGGATTCTGCAGAAGCAGCCGGAGAATCAGTGTGCGAGGGTGCTGGGTGGCAGGCAGCAGCGACCTGCAGATGACAGTGGCCGCAGAGGGACCTTCAGCTCTTTCTGGACACCGTCTGCTGCCGACGTCTTGCCCCTGCACACATCAGGCTTTAGCCAGAGCCGTGTGTGACCCAAAGGGGTGAGCAGGGTCTGAGTGAGCCATCACTAAAGGGCTGAGGCGAAACCGTGCTGGCAGAGGGGGAAATGAAGCTGTGTGCAGGCATCCAGCCGCCTGCATCGGTTATTCCATCCCACGGCCTCTTGCTGCTTTGCTGGGGATTCAGACGCCGTTGCCATCGCGGCTGGGACCAGGGGGGAGCATGATAGGACAAGGGGGAATGGCTCTAAACTAAGAGGGCAGATTTAGATCAAATATTAGGAAGAAATTCTTCCCCACGAGGGTGGTAAAACCCTGGCCCAGGTTGCCCAGAGAAGCTGTGGCTGCCCCCTCCCTGGCAGGGCCAGTGTGCATGTAGCTCTGAGCACCCTGGGCTGGTGGAAGATGTCCCTGCTGATGGCAGGGGGCTTGGAACCAGATGATCTTTAAGGTCCCTTCCAACCCAAACCATTCTATGGTTCTGTGAGGTTGGTCTCCGGCTGCACCAGTGAGAAATGGCTGATGGAAGGGGCCGTGCGGAATTCCAGGGCGTTGGTGGGTTTGTTCGCTCTCTGGCAGCGCTGTCCTCGCCCTGTGCACCCCTGCGAGTCAGCTTCCAGCCGCCGGGATTTGGGTTTTTATTCTTCTCTTCCCCGCCAGGGCTGGGCAGGGTGCGGCGGTGCCGTGGCCGCGATCCCCG